ACAACCATAATTACTTTGGAACTGCATTAAATTACTCACAATTTAAGACCAAAATGGTGATTATAGGCCTAACACATTGAGAGATATGCCTCTTCAAGGTTCATAAAATCTCCCATAAATGTTTGTATTTTAAGATTCAAGTTGTTCAATTTGATCAAATTTTATAAAAGAAACATAATAAGATTATAAACAAATTTATTTCATTTGAACAACATATTATAAGTTTTTTATGGAAGAAATCTATTGTAATTAAAATGTTTATACAGTACTATCAAGAGGAATTGATATAAAGAATGAAGATGCAACAGTGAAAAAAGGTTTCAACTTTGCTGTCGTTCTGCCATGCAATATATTACTTCTTTTATGCTAGGATTTACTGGCACTCCTCAGGACCTCCTGTCCTGTCTGTGCTGTATGAATTGAGCAGTAGTGGGAGGAAGGACCAACTTGTTCAAACTACAGCACTGACACTAGAAGGACATGGGTATAGGTATCCTTACATGAGCGTGATAATAGATAAGGAACTCTTACACTGGATCTGCCTGCCTGCATGCTTATGAATTTTAACAATTTCTTGATAAGAATAAGACTAAACAACCTTTAGGTATGCTATACCTTTAAGCATTAAATCAAGAGGACAAATTGTAACAAATTTCGAGAATTTAATTGAAAATAAGACTAATAATATGATTTTTTGGGTGAAAAAAGTGGTCTCAATTTTAAATTTCAAAGTCCTATAACTTTTGAACGCTTCAACCCATCAGTATGGGATTAACTGAAGGATGTATATAATTCAAATATCTACAATATCTGACCAAAAACTGTATGTCATCATGAGTCATATCATGGTTGTTTGTAGGTAATAGTGACAGGTGTCCATAGTCCCCTTGGCACTCTGCGTGGTCTTTACCTCTTTCCTGTGTTAAAACTTAATTCTTGCGTAAACTATAGGTTTTTATTGGTATTTTTTGGTTTCTTACCTTGCTCCAACTAGTACTCTTTTGATATATGAGGTTTTAAAAAGTCAATAGTGATTAATTTGAAAAATATTAACAAGTAATGTATGGTTTGCACAACAAAACTCGCTTAAATTCTTGTAAATCTGACTTTGTTTTTTAATTATGAAGCAAACTATTGACTTTTTATAGTCTAAATTGGTTCTATACCATTAAGTATATAGTCCTTTAGTGTAATAAAGCATTTTCAAGCGTTAAAAATATATAAACTGCAAGGAAATAAACAAATAAAGTAAAATGTTAGTAAAAATAATTTGAGTATTTTGTTTACGTAATGTTTTTCACTCATTAAATATGATTTTTATTTCTAAGTAAGAATTGTATTCCATTTATATACTCTTTGTGTAATTTATAATACCATAATCCGATTCAAAATTATTAAATTTTAGCTTTTTTGCCATTTTAAAGTTGAAATCAGAAAATCTGTTACGCAAAATCAATGTTTACGTAATGTTTTTCACCTATTAAATGAGCTTTATTTGTATATCTTATAGTTGTATTCATTTTATACGCTTTTTATGCAATTAAAAAAGCCATAATTGTATTCAAAATTATAATATTTAAGCCAATTTTAAGCATTTCAAAGTTTAAGACACAAAATGTGTTAGGCCAAATTAATTAATTAAAGTAATGTTTTTGACCCCTTAAATGGGGTTTATTTGGAAAAAATACGATTGCAATCCTTTTATACAATCTTTATGCTATTACAAAAGCCATATCTGTATTAAAAATCATAGTATTTAAGCCGTTATTAGGTATTTCTATGTTGTAAACAGTTTAATTTAAAAGAAAGTTGAATCTTAAAATACCAACATTTATGGAAGATTTTATAAACCTTGAAGAGGCATATCTCTCAATGTGTTAGGCCTATAATCACCATTTTGGTCTTAAATTGTGAGTAATTTAATGCAGTTTCAAAGTAATTATGGTTGTTTTAATGAAAAATAACGATAAAGTTATGCTTAAAGGTTAACGTTAGCCAAACTTAAAAAAATTCAAAATTTGGTAATTTTAGCCGTTGTTTGCGGAGTCATATCTTGAAAACTATTAAGCCTGTAATAACCATTTTGGTCTTATATGATAGGTAATTTAATATACTTTAAAAATGATTATGGTTGTTCTTTATGAAAAAGTGATGCTTCAGGGTCAAAATCGGACAAACGTAAAAATATTGCGTAATTCTGCCGATTTTTTAGCTTTTTGGAGGTGATCCGGAAGGTCGCCGAGGTCGAAAATTTGGATTTAGCTTCTCTGTACTATTACAAACAACATAAAAAAAAGAAACCTACTACCCCATTTCATGCAAGGTAGACCCTGATTTTTATAACAAGGTTACTGGGTTATTAAAGATTCACCATCACTTAATCCTATTATTTGGACTTGTGCTTTTTGCCAATTTGCGATACACAATTATTTGTTTTAAATTGGTTTGAAAGCATGGATTACACTTGTGTAGCTGCTGGTTCTTTCCATCAGGGAGATCCACGATTCACTGATAGTAACAACGCTCAGTGCGTGGCCAATGCAGCTTGTGCCCTTGCCTGGCAAGTGTTCTGCGGAGGTTTCAGTTCATCCGCCATCGACGAAATACTCATGGCCGGCGATCGCCTATATGCGAAATCTCGCCGTGAGTTTTGCGTTGTTGACAGGTTCCTGTTCCCCGAGGAACTGTCCAGGACATTTGATATTGCGGAGAAACAGATTTCCATTGAGGAAATTACGCATGTTTCTAACGGGTTGTACCCGACTTGTGTTGATGGCTTGGATGAGGCGGTCAAGTCTTTATCATCCAGTTTGGAGAATGCCATGCCCGCTGATTCTCTCGACGGCGGGTTTCTTTTCACGGGGCAACTGGTGACTGTTGCATTTTGGCGTCACCAAGATCATTTCTATTTATTTGATTCACACGCCGTGAATGAAACCCGCCGTAGAGACATTGAATCGGATAAAAATAAGGCTAGGTTATTCGTATGTGGGAGTTTCCCTACACTAGCCTCACTTTTATTGGTGAATTGTGCGTTCGTCGGCGGACAGTACAGCATCATGAAACTTAGGTTTTCAATTGACTCCACTGTCCGGTCGATCGAACGTATCGATAATGATCCACAACCTATTCCCCCCTCCCAGACAGTTTCTGCCCCTAAAAAATGCCCCGGAAGACCTAAAAAAGCCAAACGTGGACGTCCGAAAACTTTGGAAACCACAAGGGAAGAGCAAGTGAATGCGGCTAAAAAGAAGTATAGGGAGACACACTCTGATCAAATCAGGGATGACAAAAAGCAATACTCCCAAGATCACCCTGAGGTAAATAGAGCGGCTGTTGGGCGTTACAGCCAAACGCACCCTGAGGTCAACAGGGCTGCAGTTGGCCGTTATAGCCAAACGCACCCTGAGGTCAACAGGGCTGCAGTTGGCCGTTATAGCCAAACGCACCCTGAGGTCAACAGGGCAGCTGTTGAGCGTTACAGCCAGAGTCACCCTGAGGTCAACAGAGAGGCGGTTGGTCGATATAGCCAACGAAATCCTGATGCCTCTCGACAAAGGGTGCAGATTTTCCGGCTACATAATCCTTTGTTTTCCGAACTTCGCCACTTGCCAGCTTCACTTGCTCGAAGCATTTCTGATCACGGTCCAATGGGGTCTTGGAAGGGGGACTTGTTAAATGATATCTCAGCTTACAGTCTTAAAATAATTAGTCTTTGGGACAGTGATATTTTCAAGTGCATACACTGTGGCGCTCCACTTTTTGAGGAGGAAAAGAGTAGGAAGAAGTGGTGTTGCGGACAAGGGGCATATAACGTCCTTGATCTAAGTCCCCTTGATGCAGTCTTCTATTCTGATCGTCGTTTTCTCGACAGGGCTCGTGCCTACAACGACCTGTTTGCGTTTAGTGCCTTAGAAGTATCTGGTGGGTACAGACACCCCAGTGGTCTGGCTTTCTTTAAAATCGAAGGTCGAATGTACCACCAGATATACAACCTGTCCGACCCCGGTCAAAAGTTCACCACCAAGACTGGGGACGTTCAGTTTGTGAATCGCTCCCGTCTTTACATCGACGACGGTGAAGAACGGCGGAATATTGCCTTGGGTAGATCACTTGACGGTGACGTTGTTGACTCGATCACTCGATACCTGTCACAGCAGAATCCATACGTCGCTCACTATCGGCGTTTGGGTAGTGAGCCAGCTGTGAACGCACACTTGGATTTCCAAGTGACAAGTAGATCTACCCATGGTCCCGTTCTAGGCGACAGGCAAACAGGCGTTGAGGTGCACGCTGTCATAAGCACCGACGATACAGTGTACGAGCCCCGCAAGCTTTCCGTTTGGAAAGTTGGATCCGGAAGACCCACTTCTATCAACCTTTTTAGTCCTCTCATGGAGCCCTTCCAGTACCCTCTGCTCTATCCTCAAGGAACTTTGGGCTGGCATATTGGACGCCGCGACAATTTTAACAATAAGTTGTCCCAGTATGACTACTCCCGTTGTCTTCTGCTGTCTGAGCCTCGTTTCTCACACCTCGGCCGACTGTCTCAAGCTTGGCAGGTTGAAATGTATGCCAGATACGAGGACGAGAAGCTCAACTACATCAAGTTCACGCAGACGAAGGCAGCTGAAAATGCCATGAGGATAGGGCCGTTGGATGAGATTGAAGCGGCGAATCGTGGTGGACGTCAGGTCCTCAACGACATTAACAATGACGAGACCGTTCAGGGGGAGGGTGGGGTACAAGCTGGAAAGGTTTACCTCCCAAGTTCGTTTACCGGGGGGCCGAGATACATGAAACTTCGATACGAGAATGCTATGGCATTGGTCTCACGTCTCGGCTTCCCCACATTTTTTCTCACATTCACGTATAGTGCGACTTGGGAGGAGAACAAAAAAGCCTGTCCTTGAAATAGCGGTCGCAGTGATCCCAGCACGGCCTGCAGAGTTTTCTATATCAAACTGCTGGAACTCCTCCGCGATCTGCGCAGCGGAGCTATGTTCGGTCGGTCTGTCTACATAGTCCACGTCATCGAGATGCAGATGCGGGGCCTTCCACATGCCCACATCGTGTTTAAAATCGAAGGCGATGGACCTGTGCAGGCTTCCGACATAGACTCCCTCATCCGCGCTGACATTCCATCTCCGGAGGAGGCAGGAGGCCGATTAAGGGCGTTGGTTCTGCGTCACATGATCCACGGACCTTGTGGTACGGATCACAGGACCGACTTCCCTTGCTGGGACACTGCCAAAGGCAGCTGTTCTAAATTTTTCCCCAAACCACCCTGTGAATCAACCCATGTAGACGAGAGGGGCTTTGTAAAATATCAACGTGATTATGGTAACGAGGGGAGTATAACTTCAAGAAACAAATCGATTCCTGTACATGACGGCTGGGTCGTGCCGTACAACTCGGCATTACTACTTAAATACGAGGCACACATCAACTTGGAGGTAGCTTCCACTCGTCGTGTGATCAAGTATCTGTTTAAATACCTCATGAAGGGTGGCTCGCTTCAGAACGTCAAAGTTACTCCTCTTAGTAAACAAGACGATGAAGTTGAGCACTACGTCACGAAGCGTATGGTGGGAGCCAGCGATGCATGCTGGCGTCTCTTGGACTTTCCCATCTCAAAGTCTGAGCCCACAGTCGATTGTCTCCCTGTCCACCTAGAGGGAAAACAGACTGTGTGCTTCCGCCCTAACAACTTGACACACGCCACTTCTGGAGCTACCTCTGACCTGCTCTTGTATTTCAATAGGCCTCTTGACTCGGTATTCGACGATTTAACCTACCAGTCTTTTTTCGAGCAGTACGTTATTCATAACAAACGCCCTAGTAATGCTGAGGTGTACGACCATCCAGACGGCAAGCATTTCCTTACCTCAAGAAAGCGTGGTCAAAAGATCTGTCGTCTCTTCTGGGTCTCGCCAAACAGAAGCGAGCAGTACTTTCTTAGGCTCCTTTTGATGGTCATTCCGTGCCGGGGATACGCCGACCTGCTTGCTCGTGGTGGTGATGGTTGCACGACATATCAACAGGTTGCGCGCACCCTCGGTTTGGTTGAGGACGAGGACGAGTACCACCAAGCCCTCAAGGAAGCAGCTCGCTTCATGGTCGGCCCGAGGCTCCGCTCTTTCTTTGTCCTTCTGTGCAACATGGGAGCTCCTGCGGCCCTCTTGTGGGATGCTTTCCGTGACGCATTGTGCGAAGACCATTTGGAGCGGAATCCTCTTGATCACGAGGTTGCGTACAAGCTGGCTCTGATTGAGATCGATCGAAGCCTTCGACGTCAGGGATCCTGCTTGGCCGATCACGGTCTCCCTACTGTAGACGACGACACGACCGAACTGGGGAGGGAACTTCTCATCTACGGTGAAAATCGTCAGAGATCACTTGTAGATGAGTGGGAACCTAAACTTTCCCGCGACCAGAGGGCGGTCTTCGATTATGTTCGGTCTCTACTACAGGGCCAAGTCGATCGTCGATCAACAAAATTGATCTTCCTTGACGGACCCGGAGGCTACGGCAAGACATTCCTAATACACGTAATCCTCGCTTATGTCCGTAGTCGTAACCAGGTCGCTATTGTAACGGTCGTATTCCCCTTGGAATACGTACTGTTACTTTGGGTGACGTAGCTCAGGAATGAAACTCAGCACTCGCTTACAAAACCCAATTTTATTAAATACTCAAAACAACACAAAGAACACAAAGGTAGAGTAGACTGGAACTGTATAAATAATTTAGTAACTTAAACCCCAATTTGGAAAAGACACTAAACCCCAATTTTGAAAACCCTTAACATTTTCTTACCTGGACCCAAAGCCAAGGGCCTTGGGCTCCAGCTCCCCAGCAGGACCCTGTCCTCCGGTGCACCTCACAAACACTACCCACCAAAACTGACCCCTTGATCAAGTGCACTGGCCTACTTAAAGCAACAGCCTTCAGTAGGTCAGCACAACAAGTTATTGTTTAACAACACTACCAGCCTACTCACACAACATTGCCAAACACTTCCTCTTTACAATATTCGATCCCTTCCATTACATCCCCCCATTTCCTCCAGACGATGTCCCCAGCGTCTCAACTACATAGATACATCCACTCAGAGAGAAAAAAAAATTAATAACAAAAACTGATTAAAATCTTTTAAAATTGTACCTAAACAAAATTAAAATAAGGTTTAGGAGGGGAAGAACTGACCAACTGTTCGCGGACTTCCTCAGCAGTTGCGTCGATAAAGCCTCCTCGAACAGTCGTTGGTCTTCAGATGTTTGACCACAGCCATGTCTTCTGCGATGTCTCCCACTTCGGTGTCGATAGTCTGTAGTCCATCCAGCGTTCCTTGACAACATTGATGATGAATCGACTTTGGTTGACGATGATGTTGGACTGCTTTTGCCATTGATTGAGTGTACTGCAGCCTGAAGTGCTCCTCTTCTTAAAAGCCCTTGCCACCAGCTGCTTTTCCCCAGTATTCATTGAGTTTGACAAAGTCTCTTCCTCGGATCACGATGTTGAAGATAAAACAGCAAATCATGAAGTTCTTGTAGCCTTGTATACAGTTGGTCAGTGGGGATGGGTAAATAGGAAGCCTACACAAACATATAACTCACAAATACAACATATAATTTATAAAAAAACCCTAGACTTTTAAAGAAATTCTCAAACTCACATTAAGAACAAAACAACACAACCAACATTAAAACAAAAATTATTGAAACTAAGAGAAGTGTTTGGAATGTGTTACCTTAACAAATCATAGGCCTATACGATGAAATAACAAAACATTATAAATAATTTCAGATTGATTTACTTCAAATTCTTCAAATATAACCTTTTTCAAAGTATTTAAAACAATAAATGATGGAACAGTCTTTCATTTCTAGTATAATTTAATTTAATTCTGAATAAACAAAAATATTCAATTTGTCTCCCATTTAAGTCCCTGATAATTAAAAATCTAAACAACAAAATATATCTCAATAAAATATTCTTTTAATACATAATCTGTCTTTGTCTTTAAATTTTGTGAGACTATTAAATTCACTAAAGGACACTATTGCAACATTTAAAACATTATTTCCCAATACAGTTATTTTCGGGGAGTCATGCGATTTATCTCTTACCTAACAAAACAAAATCATCTCCCGAATCAAATTCAATTTTCCTTAGTATCTTTAAAAACACAACTAAAATTTATTACTATAAAAAATAATAGCTAAACAAACATTTCAAATCACTCCCTACTTTGCTTTGGTGTTAAAACAAGTGAAACATTTTACTTCAGTAGGCTACATTTTTAAATCACATACTTCAAAAACTTAAAAGGCAATACATAAATTCAGAAAATGAACTTGAAAAATTGCATGTGTAATTCTCTGATAAAAATTCAAAAACATGATTGCTGAAAAAAAAATGATTTGGGCCCAAATCGTTACAAACTAACCCATAAGCAAAACCAATTTCCCTTTTAAAATTTATCCAACAATCTATCACCTGTAAAAACAAAAATTTGTTCCCAAAATAAAACATTCATGCATTGCTGATTTCCCAAAGCAAACTCTAGAGCATCCGTATTAAAAGGTAAACATTGTAACAAAACACGGCCAGCACTCAGCAAGGTCAGGTCACAGAGAGGCCATTTACACCACACTCAGCATTCCTCAGCCTACAAACATGCTGACTTCTCTCACCGCAACTTTGCTCGTGCTATACTCTGAAATATCAACATGAACACCTACTCTAATCATTAACAGTATTAACCATTTGTAAAAATCCCCATCTGAAAAAAAATATATTACTATCAAATTAAAGTCTAAGCTCAAATATATTTCTAAAACAATACACCATAATACACTACAAATAATTAATTATCCCTCATACTACTTCTACAAAATATAATCTATTGATCCATTATTCACTGCATCTACTGCGCATAAAGAGCTGAAACAGACTAGTTTGACAACATGTGTCTGCCACATTATTCGCACAATATACACTCTAGAGTGGAAATAGCAGGTCTGCAACCAAAGAATCGCATCTTCGAGAAACCTGGGAACTACAAGATCCCAGATTCAACACAAATTTAACCAGGCAAATACACACACTTGTGCACAGCAACAACATCTGAAACACACATTACACATGTGCATCCAGCACAGGACCAATAAAAACCTTGTACAGCTAGCACATAGCATACAGCACCAAAATACATTATGCACTCAGCACATAACAAAAATTCATCTTGTGCTCCCAGCACATAACAAATGAAAACCCTGTGCAGCCAGCACAACACATAATACCTCGTGCATCCAGCACGTAACGCAATAACTCTCGTGCTTCCAAACACGACACACAATAAACTCAAGGAACACATATCGAACTCACGTGCAACCCGCACATGACGCAAAGAACACTCGTGTAACCCAACACAAACACATATCGAACTCACGTGCAACCCGCACATGACACATAGAACACTCGTGTAACCCAACACGAACACATATCGAACTCACGTGCAACCCGCACATGACGCAAAGAACACTCGTGTAACCGAACACAAACACATATCGAACTCACGTGCAACCCGCACTTGACGCTTAGAACAATCGTGTAACCGAACACGAACACATATCGAACTCACATGCAACCCGCACATGACGCATAGAACACTCGTGTAACCAAACACGAACACATATCGAACTCACGTGCAACCCGCACATGACGCATCGAACACTCGTGTAACCAAACACGAACACATATCGAACTCACGTGCAACCCGCACATGACGCATAGACTCACACAAAATAACACTGAAAAACTTCACATTTACGGCATTTTAGCCCTTCACTGATGTCCCAAAAACACTGAACCCCCAAATAGAACTGATTAAAAACTGCACCAAAGTGGTGATTACAAATAAAAAAAAAATATATTCAAAAACCAAATTTTTCTTCACTTACTGAACCCCAAAAAATAAAGCCAATTATCTTTTCTAAGAGGCTGTCGCTAGCTCCGGCATTGCCGCTGGTAATCTGCCTGGTGGCACGACAGCACATAGCATGTTTCGGCTACCACTCGATCTCGGCGATGGCACTGGATATTGGAACTTGACCAACGGATCTCAGCGGGCAGAACTCATCAGAGCCGCACAGCTCATAGTTTTTGATGAGGCCCCGATGGCTCACCGGTACATTTTTGAAATCATCGACAGATCTCTGCGTGACCTCATGAATTCACCTGAGCCATTCGGGAATAAGATCTTTATCTGCTGCGGAGATTTCCGTCAGATCGCACCAGTTGTTGCCAAGGCTCGTACTCCGGCCGACATTGCCTGTGTATCACTTTGTGCGTCATCTCTGTGGTCAAGTTTCAAAATCTTTTCTCTCTCCACTCCTCACCGGACTTCTGGGTCCACTGCCTACTCTGACTTCCTCCTTCAAGTAGGCAATGGAACAATTACATCTGTTCCTTTTGGGGAAGGCCGTGACTCTGTTTCCCTGATCCCACTGTCCGGTGTAAAATACGTGACATCCCTTCCCGACTTGATCGAGTTTGTGTTCCCTGCTTGTGACCTACAACACACAGACAGAATTGCTGGCAGGTCCATTCTTTCAACCATGAACGCCAATGTCCAGCAGATCAACAACACCGTTCTCAACCTGATGGACGGCGTCGTTCATGAGTTGAGGAGTGCGGATTCCGTCGACAAGGAGAACGACGATGGTATGGATGTAGACGTTCACTTGTTGAACCAAGCTACTGGCAAGGGTGTACCAGACCATGTCCTGCGACTCAAGATTGGCTCCGTGTGTCTCGTCATGAGGAACTTGAACATTGACAGCGGACTCGTAAACGGCACTAAAGTGATCGTGACTGCAATAAGACCTCGTCTGATCACAGTGCGACTCCCTGGACAACATGATCCGATTTGTATTCCCGGATTCAATTCGTTTTCCCGTTCGTCGAGGGGTCACCGCTTCGTGTCCGCCGTCTTCAGTTTCCTCTCATGCTGGCATATTCCATGACTGGCCACAAAAGCCAGGGCCAGACGATTGATCGCGTCGGAGTCGATCTTCGCAGTGACTGTTTCACTCATGGTCAGTTGTACGTCCTGCTCAGTAGAGTCAGGCATCCAGACCATATAGTCGTCCTTGTCCGTCCCGACCGTGTCCAAGGTGGAATCGCATACGCGAAGAATATCGTGTATGACGATCTCCTCCTCTAACCCTGACTTGACTTTCCCTGACTTGACTTTAGCTGTAGGTTGTTGTATATATTTTCTTTTGGTTTTTTCTTTAGAAATAAGTCGTTTTTCGTGTGTTTTTAGTATTTTAGTTTGGCAGTACGATAGGGGGCCTGCCTTATCAAAAGTCCCCGTTGTTGTATATATTTTTTTCTTCTTTTTATTAGTTAGTTAAGTTTTTGTTTATATTTCTTTAGGTACCTAGTTAGTAACGTTTACTAACTTGTACATTTGTAAATAATTGTAAATATGGTTCCGACGTTTCCTGGCCTCCTCGTGGCGGAACTGGATATGCCATAAAGTTTATGGCTAACCGACAGGGAAACAAACATTACTTGATCTATTTTCATAAATATATACATGAATATCTACTATAATCTATTTTATTAA